GTCCCGAGCACACTACACAAGCTCAGGTGAGCTGAGGGTCTGGACTTCCGCCTGAGCACCATCAAAGAGAAGCCAGAGACAAACATTCAATTATCTTCAGCTCTAAAACAAAAGCTCTTTTCAAACCGAAAAGAAACAATGAGTTCAATGGATTCCAAATCCCCTCTGTCTCACTGAAATGTCCTCCTTGGGGTGACCCCCATTGGCCAGGAGCAGCCAGGGAGGGAGTGAGAAAGGACCCCCAGAGGGACACTGGGGCAGGAGTGCTGCAGCTGTCATTATGCCTACAGAGGGAAAGGTCTTTGCTTCCTAGCCTCAGCTGTCTGCTTCCAAGGCTCTTTCCCTGTGTCAGATCACCACAGAGGGGGTAGCTCTGCAGTGAGCCCAGCGCTCACCCAGAAAGGGCCACAGATGGCATAATGTCTGTGTCCTGCAAATCTCACCTTTTGTTTTTTTTTGTTTTTTTTTTTTTTTTTTGGTGGTTCTGGTAACTTACCAAGGGTCTTTGGTCTGAACTAAATCCCAACCCTTTTCAGTTTTCATTTTTTGTTTTGTTTCATTTTATTTCTGAAACAGGGCCTTGCTAAGTCATTAAGTCTCCCAAACTTGGCTCAAACTTGTGTTTCTCCTGCCTCGGCTTCCTACAGTGCTGGAATTATAAACATGTTCTACTGCACTTTACTGGAACTTTCACTCTTAATGGCCCTCTTCCTGCCCGCCAATCTGGTCCTTCCACACAACACTCATCATATGCTTGCTGCAGTTCTAAAGTGCTTGGAGAGACAACAGCAAATAAACCAGATAATGTCTCTGCTGATGGGTGCTGATGTCCTGGTGGACAACAGAGACAAAGTACAAATCATTATTCTAATAAAAGCAACAACATTAAATGCAAAGGGTCATAAGTGCTATGAGGAAAGAAGCAAGAAGCCAGGAAGTACCATCAGCTCTCCACCTCCACGGGTTCTCCATCTACATATTCCATTGCAGATGGCACATAATGGAAAAAAGCAATTGCATCTTCACTAAGCAACAATGAACTTTTGGGGGTGTCATACCATATATAACAACAATTTACATAGCATTTGTTATGGTTTGTGTCTGGATGCCCCCTCAAGCCTCCTGCAGTCATGGGAACAGGCTTCTAGAGTTTGTGATTGAGTCATGGTCCAGTGTTGGAATTACTGGTGTAAGTGCTACACCCACCCTAGTTTGGGTAGTCTACATACAATAAAGGACTGAAAGAGTCTCCTCTTGCACTTTTTTGTTGTTGTTGTTGTTGTTGCTTTTGTTGTTTTCTGCCACCATGAACTGTTGCTCTCTGTCATGTATCATTCTACCTTGGAGCCAACCAGGTATGGACTAAAACCTCCACAAACCGTAAGCTTAAAATAAACCTTTTGTTCCTCAATTTTGGTCATCCAGAATTGTGTCTCAGTAATGGGAGAAAAGTAACCTACACAGTATTTACTCTACATTACACAGAGTAAGTATGTTGGTTAATTTTCTCATTGCTGCAATAAAATATATGACACCCAGAAGTTAAACAAGAGGTTTGTTTGGTGCGCAGTTTCAGGGGGTTCAGTCCATGGTTTTGCTAGATCCAGTCAGAAGCAGCAAGGTAGAGGAACATGGAGGAGGTCTGCAGTTCAACCTCTGTGGTTTTGATCTAAAATTTTCCCAAAAGTCTCCTGTCTTTGATGTTATTGGATTGTGAGGTGATATGCTCATCAGCGGATTCATCCATGGATGAGTTCACAGCTGACTGTGCTGTTAGGAGGTGGGCCCTGGTTAGAAGAGGCAGGTCATGGAAGTGTGCCTTGGAAAAGTGTATTCTTGCCCCCAGCTCTTCCCTTTTATTTCTGCTTTCTGGCTATCATGGCTTGAGCATTTGTTGTCTACCAGGCCATGCACCATGCCCATTCTGCCCTAAAGCCAGCTGACTATGGACTAAATCCATTAGAAACATGAACCAAAATAAACCTCTCCTCCTTTAAAAGTTGAAGGTGCTAGATATTGCATCTCAATGGTGGGAAAATGACTATTACACCATGCCATTCAGGAAGTAAGGCAGGAGAACAGCTCCAAAGAGGAAGGAAACAAGAACCAGATATATACCTATGGTCATGGCCCCATGACCCATTCAGATACACCCAGAAGTGGGCATTACCAATCCCCTTGGTTGGAAGGGGATTGGTTTGGAAGGCCAAAGCTGAGCCATCCCAGAATCACTCAGAGGATTTTCTCACAGGCCTAACTGTTCAGAGACCTCACAGCCTGCACTCACCCCCCTCTCCTTAAACACAGGCCAGAAGGTAGGGAAAGTGATCTGCTCCCTTTGGACACCCAGAGTCAAGCTCAATCCTGGCCATTGCCACTATAATGCTGTCACTGGTTGGATAATTACTTCTTTTCACAAAGGAGTCTTACTCTGAGATGCAAATCAGAAGGAAGCCCTGAGCTTTTTGCTGCCAAGACTGCTCTTCCTGAGGGTTTCTGCCCAGTTCCTGGAGCGTCACAAGTCTGTGTCTGCACAGACACACAGGGACACATATGTGAGGGCTCTACTGTCACACTGCGACCAGCCAAGGTGCCATTTCTAATGTTTCAAATTGTCACTGTGCACTGATGCAAATACTATGGTCTTGACTCATTGTACAAGAGACCTGTGGGAAAATTAAATGTACAGAAAGCAGAATGTCATTTGAAGTGAGTTGTATCCTAGAGCATTCTGGTCCCATGTGAGACAGTTGTCAAATCTTGCCAGTTTCAAACTGACCACTATAAGAATGTTGACACCAGTGGTATTGGCCAAAATTCCACAGCATGGTTTCCCACCACCATCACCAACCCATAACCTCTCCCATCCTCCAAAGTACTGGCCAGTTCAGCACTGGCTAAATAAATGAGTATTCAGTATAGCCCTTGTTCTGCTCAGAAGCCAGGCATTTTTCTGTGGGTGGATATCTCTGAAATATATCTCCAAAATTAGACTGGAGATCAGTGGAAATCTATGATTCATATCCCCAGCAGCCCCCTACACATTCACCCAAATTGTCTTATTTGAGAAACATTTCTAGAAATACCAGCATTGTATTTGACCATCACTAACAATCAAACTTTTCATGCATCAAAAGAATGCTTAGCCAAGGCTCTTTCTTTCACTCCCCTTTTCTGCTTCCCAAAAAGAACCATTTGTTGGTTCAAGTACAAAAGTTCAAGTGAGAACTAAGCTCCTAAGAAATTTTGTTCTGTATAAACTCTGAATATAATCTTCTAACGTCCAGAAGACAGAAACCACAGACCACATACAGGAATATCTCACTGTCCACCATCATTCTACTTTTGCCTGACTTTGCTAACAGAGTAGAGAGGAATAGCAAGAATCCTTCAAATCCCCCAGACAGCCAGCACTCCTGCATTTTAACCAAACTTGCACTGTAGCTATAACCAGGGAGAAAATAATCAAGCCTACATTTCATTATCTTCCGTTTTTCCTGTCAGAGCCCACTGAGAATGGCATTGAGCAGTAAAATAAATAGTCCAAGAGGGAAAAGCAAGAATCCACAAACTATACCAATGGCTCCTTTTATGAGCAAGAGCTGACAGTGTTTGAAATTGGGGCAAGGTCTACCATAACACTGCAGAAGGTGGGTGTCTGGGAAGTGGGGTGAGTGATTACAAGACGTCTCTCATGCCTAAGGAGAATTTTATATTAAAAATCAATAACAGAACATGCATTTTTCTACTCTGAGCAGTTTCCATGGCATAACCATGGAATCATATGATACAAAATGATTAAAATACAAATTGGTGACAAATAGTGTTGTCAGCCTTTGCTGCCAGTCAGCACAAGGTTTTGCTTCAGCCTGAAGGTTTTGCCATCAGGAACTCAAGAGCCCTTTCTTCCTCCCCGAGCCGCCTGTTTCCTTCCTAAGTATCTTGTTCATTCTCTGATAACATGGGGCCAGCAGCATGTGGAGAGGAGAGGCAGGTGAATTCACTGGATGTTTCAAGAGAAAGGTCAGAGGGAATTTGGCACCTGGATTTTCAGAGAATATTCCTCCCGCCACACCACACATGTCTCTGTCTGCCAAGGTACATGGCTGACTCTCAGAAAAGGGAATTCATCTCTTAAATTGCAAGGTTTATCACAGAGCTTCATAGATTGACAGTACAAGACAAACCTGCACCAAGGCAATTCTGCTGTTTTCTAATATGCAAGCTGGAGACCTGTGGGGGGGGGGGGTGTATGGAGCAATACACAAAGTTGCCCTTCAGCCAGTGTGATCTTGCCTTTCCACGTCTAAAATCCCACCTGACATCCATAAAGCTGCTAAAATGGTTTAACAAGCAGACAATACCAAGTGCTACCAAGGACATGGAGCAACTTGAATTTTGATGCAGGGCTAGTGAAAACGCAAAATGGTACAATCACTTTGTAAAACTAAGGGAAACATATGCTCCCATTCCTAGGTATCTACCTTGCAGAACTGAAAACATGTTCATGCAACGACTGTGCAAGAATGCTTAATGGAAGCTTTATTTAGGATCGCCCACATTGGAAATGACCCAAAGGTTCACTCGCACTTTGGAAACTACTCAGTAATAAAAAGGAATAAACTATTGACACACAACAGCCAGCTAAGTTTCACAACATTTTTCTAAGTGAAATAATCAAGCCACCCACACACACGCCAAGACTCTATACTGGATGATATCTTTCTTATGACATAAAGCAAACCTACTAGGGAGCTAACCACAGTGCCTAGGGATGGGGACTGGGACAGACCAGGACAAGGGGACAGGAATCCTGAGCAATGGAATCGCTTTGGATCTTGATTTTGCTGGTTGTCATGGGTCTATTTGCATTGCCCCAACTCATCCACCTGGCACCTAAAAAGTGGATTTTATTGCAATAAATCTGAATCGAAGTGAAAACCTGAATGAGGGTCAAAGGTGTTTTAAATTAATCCCTCCATATCGGCTTCTTTCAAAATCTGCTTCTGGACCTTTGAGCCCAATCCGTTTCCTGGTTAGATTGCATCAGGTTCTTCCCTGCACTTGGCACTGTTAGGGGTTTTCTTTTAGCCATTCTGGCAGCCAAGCAGGTGAGCTCAGAGCAAAATGGGACTGGTGAACAGAAACCCAAGAGCCAGCCGTGGCCAGAGTCACTCCTCAGGAAGCCCCAGGCCCACTCCGCACCCGCATGCTTGAGCAAAAAGGAGGAAGACACCAGAGTTTCCCCAGCGAGCTCCCAGGTAAGGCTCTTCCTCCACCAGAGCCAAGACGGGCTTCCGAGACCGGAGCCTGTGGTTTCTGCCCTGACTCTGGGCTTCAGTAGCAAAAAGTGCAGCGCCCTTCAGCGGGAATCACTAGATGGAAGTGAATCAGCACCAGATTGTGAATTCTCAGCTGCTCCGACACATGTGAATGAATGAGTCTTCAAAGCTTTTGTCAGCTTGCTTCAGAAACGAAATTTGATATTATTAAGACCATCCATGATGAAACAATTATACAAGTGTAAATGGGAAATTCATTTAAGGGCTTCATGAAATCACTGGGAAACGCCTTCCCTGCCTTTTCTTTTTTTCTTTTTTCTTTTTCTGTCTGACTAAATAAGGTCAGATAAGATGAGGACAAAACTAAGTCAGCATGAAAAATTCAAATTACTTAAATTACTCTTCTTTTCTTTTCTCCCCTGCCCCCAGCTGAACTTCAGAATGTGGGAGGGGCTGCACAGCTTAACCAAAGCTAAGCTCTTCCGTATCAAATGGCAATTACTCTTCAGCTGGTTCTCTCTCTTTCTCTCTCGCTCTCCATCCACTCAGCAAACATCCACCACCTCAAACAAATTTGCTGAAAGAGGCAGAAGAGTCTGGGGGTTTGGAACGCTGTTTATGAACTGAGAATTGCTGAGGCTGACCAATGCATTAATGGACTTAGTGTGAGTCCGTTCTGTTATTCTCTGCTTTAGACCCGTTCAGGAAACCCCCTAAGGAGCAACTGGGACAGACGCTGACAGAGGTGGCAGGAAGGAGAGAGACAGAAAAGTGGTCCAAGAACCACTGGGCGCCGACACTGGCACACAAACTGTGCACCCTTAAGTATGTCTTTTCACCTCCCTGTAAAATGGGTGTAACACACACATACACACACACTCGTAAGGCCTCTCAATCAGGGCCAAACATCTCAGACTCCTTCCCCTGTACCCCTGAGCTGAAGGCTTGCATTGCATCCTGTTAGGTTTTACAAGGCCTCTGTCTCTGCAGAGCAAAGACAATGGCTTTGTTTTATCCCCTCACTGCCTCAAGCCTTGCTTGGTCAGATTTCTCTTCCCTGCCGCATGACCATCCCACAGCCTTGCACTCACTTGTGGGCATCAGAACAAAAGAAGTTACAAAATCATGACTCCATCTGAGGCCCTCCAAGGTGCTGTGCAGCCTTGTGGGAACTCTGCCGTTCACGCCCAGCTCCCAGCTCTGTCTATCCCCTGGGCCGACGCTTTACCATGGGTCAAGGGAGACAGACATAGAAGGTCAACGGCCGGCTGGCCCTCCATGCTTCTTGCAGCCCACACCCCAGCTCCTGGCCCAAGACAAAAGAAGGCTGGGCATGGTGGTGCAGGCCTGTAACCCTAGTACTCTGGGAAGCTGAGGCAGGAGGATTGCATGTCTGAGCCCTGCCTGGTAACTTACTGTCAGTGAGACAAACTATGAAAAGGGGCTGGGAACGTAGCTCAGTGGTGAAGGCCTTGGGTTCAATCCCTAGTGCTATAAAAAAACAAACCAAAACACAAACAAGACAGTGAGTGGACCTGACGGAGCAAGAAAACACACCTTGTTCATGAACCCCGGTGCTCTCCATCCTTCCCTCCTGGCAGGTGATCAAGGCATGGGTTCTGACTCCCTGGAGGCCCAGTTGAGGCCCCCCAAGAGGACGAGGTGCTCCTAACTGGCCTCGTGGCACTTATCTTGGGCCTGACCTTGGCACACCCCATGCTAAATCCCCATGCTGCAGCAGCCTAATGCCTCCTAGCATGCTCTGCACCTACAAGAGTCCTCTGACCCTCAAAAGTCTCCGGCCTGTTTGTAGTGACAAACACAGTAGTAGCAGTGATGCTATGCAAGTCAGCCACCACTTCCACCCTCTCCTCCTGCTGGCCTTGCTTTCTGCCATTCTCTAAGCAACAGGCAGCCATCATCCCGGGGTTTGGCACAACCAGAGGCAGACGGTCAGCGCCTGCCAGATCTCAGCTGCTCCCAGGGACCCCCTCATTCACCCTGCTCCCACCTCTGAGGATGCAAACATAAGATCAAGGGAAGGCATGTCATCCACCTCTTCTACCAGGCATCCCGATCTCAGCCATCTGTCCTGGGTAGGATTCACTCCTTTGGGAAGGAAAAAAACCAGCATCCCTCTCTCCTCCCACCCATTCCTCCCCAAAGTCTTCTCTTTTCCTGGCAGAACTCAAGTTCATGGAGGTCACTAATAATCTCCACCACCTCTCCAAAGAGTGGGATCCCTCACCCCACTGCTCTCAGCTTTGGACATAAACCAAAATTCCCAAGGAAAAAAAAATCCCCTTCAATACCCCATGCTGCTTTTAAATACAGAAGTCTACTGTTTTTCAAGGTTTTAAAGAATAAGCAGGATAAAAGGGACAGAGAAAGACAGAGAAAGACAGAGAGAGACCAGAAACACTGGAGACAGAGTTTCAAAAATCCATCAGCAAATGCACAGAACAGATATTTACTGAAACAGATACAGGAAACATTATCTCAAGGGAGAGCACATTTCTGGAAATACACAGGCAAGGAGCCTTGAAAATTGCTTCCTGATACTTCCAGCTGAATTATCCCTCCTTGATAAATTATTTCAAAGTCATTTTCAGCTCTTAGGTTTATTTACACCCATTTTAAAGACTCCACGGCCTTCTGAAAGCAGGAAAAAAAATTTTAAAGAAGCGTAACCAAGGTGAGCAACGCGACTGTCATTTTGGGAAGGTGTGAAGAGTGAGGAACGTTGTCCTAGCAACGGCCAATCTCAAGGCTACCTGCCTTCACCTGCTGCCCAGGGGCGCCCAGAGCTCTGCACGCCAATGGAGGAAACCCGCAAAGCAGAGCCCCCTACTGGCAGACACCGTACACAGCACCCCGGATGCTCCCAGCCTAACAAATGAGCCAACAAACCAAGGACAGACGCCCAGAGTGCCTGGAGACTGTCGCCTACTAATGGAAGCACAGAACTTGAGGAAGGAGCACAGGCGTCTGCATGTCCGGAAAGGATAACAAGCCAGGCAGCAGGGCACTGAAGGTCCCGCACCCCTTCTCTGGATTAACACTGCCATTTAATGACACTGCTTTTAACTTCAGACTCAGCCTCAAGTCTTCTCACCTTCACTGTCCACTATTAAATACTCATGGCTTATGGCTAAAATGTCCCCCTAAAATCTCAGATGTGTGGAAGCTGATTGGATGATGGGGGCGCTTTACTCCTCTGTGGATTTACCCACTGAGGAGTTCAGAGCTGAATATATCGTAGGAGGTGGACACTGGTTGGAGGTGGTCACTGGGGGGTGCCCTAGAAGCATGCATCCTTGTCCCCAGCTCCGCCCTTCTCTCTCTGCTTCCTGGCTGCCAGGAAGTGAGCAGCCTTCCTCCGCCACACCCCTCCACCATTCCATCTCTGCCCCAGGGCCAGCTGACAATGAACTGGAACCAGGAGCCGAAATTAACCTCTCCTTCTTTAGGCTGTGGGTCAGGGTGTTTTGTTCCAGCAATGGGAAAGTCACTAAGACACTCACCAATTTTTTTCCCTCAGCTCAAGCCCCTGACTCCTCTCCTCCTCCAAGGATACTGGCGGCCGAGTCCATCACTCTGCACACGGCCCTGGGAGCAGCAGAGCTGGCTGACCTTCCCACTGGATTTCGTTCTCTTCACACAGCTGCCATGAGATTCAGCAGTTTCCCTGAATTACACCCCCTACGAAGATGTGTAAGTCTCATGGCCCAGAACCTGTGTAAAAGGTGGCTTTTTAGATATGAGTAAAGTAAGACATGGGGCGGTCACTTTGGATTATCTGGGTGAACCCAGTGATGCCAAGGGTCCTTCAAAGCAGGATGCAAGAGGTTCAAAGCCAGAAAAGGGAACATGGCCGGAGGGGCAGAGGCTGGGATGACAGGGTGACAAGCCAAAGACTGTCAGTATACCACCTTTAACAGCTTAAGGAGAAATAAGTGGATTAGGTCCTCCTGGGAACCTCCAGAAAGAACACAGCCCTGCTGACTTCTTGATTTTATTCTCATTTCAGAATCCTACTCTTCATAACCATAGAGCATAAATTCATGCTGTTTTAGGCCACTAAGTTTGTAGTAAGGCCTCATTCCTTAAAAGATAAATGTGAAACTGCAAAGAGACAAGGGCATCACCAGCTACCTCTCTACTCGTCTCCCCCGCCCCCACGCCACCACCGAGGGACCTCACACTTCAGCCACCCTTCACTCCTTCGTCTTCCCCAGACAGGGAGTGTACCCAGCCCCGGGCCTTGGCACATGCTGCTCCCTTGGATCGGGGTGCTTTGGGTCCCCTTCTCTGCCAGGAAAATCTGCTCATTACACCCCAGCTCTGATGCCTTCATGCCTTTCAAGCCTTCTTTCTACCCTGTTGTCACATGGCATCCCACACAAAGGTCTTCAGCACTGATTATATCTCACAGGGGCTCTATTGGTGAGACGGTTTCTCTTCGCCTCCTTTGTACCCCCAGGGATGTGCCTGCCTAGGTGAGACCGGGACAGAGGAGTCCACAGAGCATAAGGGATGAGAGCTGATGCCTTTGGGAAAGTCAGTGCTTCTTGTGTGCTCGGCTGCTGAAGAGCGGGACAGATGGAAAGATGGAGGCAGGAGTGGAAGAGGCAGGACCCAGATGTGTCCCTGCCAGCAACAAACTCTGGAAGAACCTGTTCAGAGGCACCCATGGGCCTGTGAGCCTCAAATACAGTCCCCAAGACCAGAAGCATCCATGTCACTAGTGACCATCGTGCAAATGCACATTCCCAGGCCCCAACTCCCACCACTGATAGGAGAAAAACCCCAGAGCAGAAGCCCAAGTAGTCGGTCTCAAGACCTCCATGTGCTCAAAAGCCCACTGAAGTTTGTCGACCATTCTTGTAGAGGCAAGAGACACCCAGGGATGAGTGAAAGGTAGATTCTAGACAGCTGCAGAGGGGCCTCTTCCTAGAACAGAACATGGCAACAAAGTACAAATATGCATTTCCTGTCTCGCCAGGAGACCTGTCTCCTGGTCTCAGGAGACCAGAAGTTCAATGTCAAAGCGTAGGCTGCATAGGTTTCTGCTGGTGACTTCTCTGTATCTTCCCAGAGACCTCTCCATGTGTATAACTTTATCCAGATTGTCCTTGCGGTAAGGATGCATGAATGCCCACCTTCCAGAGAGCATGCTAGCTCACCTGCCTCTTCCAAGGCCTTGTCTACAAACATGGCACATCCTGAGTTCCCAGCAGGGAGGACTTTGCATAAGGATTTGCAATTCAGGCCACAATAGTCCCCAAGAATTAAAATCACGTCCTCTAAACAATTTCAATTTGCCTGTCAATGACAAGTGACACACACTTGAGAAGCCAGCTGGAAGCAACTCAGCCTCAAGTTCTTCTCCATCACCAACACCATCATCGTGTGTGAAAGGCAGAGCTTCCCAGGCATAAGCTGGGTCACTGGGTACCCAAGATAGCAACAGCTCAGTGTTCAGTGCTGCTAGAACAGGAACCGGGGAACACCTCCTCCAGACCCTGCTGCTGTCCACCTTCACACCAGGTGCTGAAGAAATGTCACCGTTTGATATGGAGGCGGCAATGTGACACGGACTGGAGATAATGGGAACCAAACCACACCCCGTGACTCCTAAGGGACATAAATATGAAGTGATTTGCAAAACCCTGCCTGCCAGGAAGAAAACCCAATGAATGTTTCTGTGACCACTGTCATCATCACTGCTGTGGTCACTGACCTCCTCGCCAGGCACCACACCAACAGCTCAAGGAGCAAGAAGCCAAGCTGCAAGGGCTCCAGTTCACAGAGAGGCCAAGTCACAGGCTCAAGCCACTACTGGGACTACTGGAAGCTGCTTTGCTCACTCCCCTTAAGGTCCAAGATGGAACAGGGACCAAGGGACCCCAGCTGGGGGAACTCAGATCACATCTGAAAAAGCGATTCTCAGACTCAGCTGCACAATGGAGCTACCCTGAGAGCTTCTACAGCCTCCAGAGCTTCTAAAATCCAGTTTCCCATTGAATGGGTCCTCTGCAGTGTATCCGGGGTATGAGGATTTTTCAAACTGCCCCAGGGGCTTCTCAAGTGGGCCACCACCAGGGACGATGTGTCTCGTGTGACAGCCACAGAATGTTGTCGCTATACATTGAAGCTTTCAAACTTTTGGGAATCAAACCAAGAGATAAAAAAGACAATATTCAAGTAGCACCCTGAGGAGCCAAAATCTTGGCAAATGGTAAGTTATGACACATAAGGGGGAAAAAAAAGAGAGCATTTTTAGGAAACTTAAGTGCCAGAAGCAAATGACTTGGCTAAAATCATGCCCCCTCCAAGTTCCTCTGATGAATGAATCCCACACAGAAATGATAAAGGCAAAGTCTTTGAGCCAGTTGCCTGCTCAACTTCCTGGTCTTCACAGATCCTGCCTCCTACCGGAGATGGGGAAGATGGGCAGGGTTAGGGAAGCTGCAGAGACCTGCAGATGCTCCAAATTGGATGGGACACAGCACAGCACTGGGTGGAATCCACCACCAGGCAGAGGACGCTGCTTGACACGGCCGCCTGTGTTTTCTCCTCCTGTGTAGGAAGCTGGAAAAAGAGCCCAAGGCCTCCCACTGAGCTACATCCCCAGTCCTTTACTTTGGATTTTGAGACAGGGTCTCACTAAACTGCCCAGGCCGGTCTCAAATTTACAATCTCCCTGCCTCAGCCTCCTAGAGCACTGGGACTACAGGCATGTGCCACTATGCCAGGCTGTCCATCACAATTTTAGGCATTAGCCGCAGACAAAGGGAAACTGCTTTGGGCAATCTCCACTGCAGCTTTGGGACGGTTCCCAATGCCAGGAACAAGCCAAATCCTTTCTGTGCTAGGAATTTCCACAAATATCTAACAGTGACCCCAGAGCTGAGGCTGTGGCTCAGTGGTAGAGCACTTGCCTAACATGTGTAAGGCCCTGGGTTTGATTCCCAGTAACACAATAAAATAAAATAAGACTTACTAAGACCTCACCATCATCTCTTAATATTTGGTATCTTTATCTTAATGGTTTTTCAATAGGTCAGGACAGTGGATATAGTCCCCATCCTCTAGATGAGCTTTAATTTGTTAATGTTCCTGCTCATGAGTGACACCATCTTCTAAGCACTGGTCTCTGGAGGACACCTGAGTGGCAGGGCCAGCACTTCCTACCAGCTACAGGTCCTCTGTGCTAAACACAGTTTTCAGGGGGGGCTCTTTCTTTAGGTGAACACTAGTTTCACCACCTGATTAAACAGATAATCTGGATAACTAGTGAGACCAATGCCTTAGGCATGCCATGGAGACCCTACTTTACAGATCTTAAAATATAAAGCAATCTCCCACCCTGCGCCTTCAAGCAGCATAGAATCTACGAGTTGTGGTGAATGTTTAAATTTTTTAAAAAATGTACAGTATCCAAAACTGCCCCTGTGTGCCTGCCACCATCAGGAGTGCTTCCTGTGGGCAGTCAGTGCCCACCAGGAGACTCAGACAAACACACCCTGTGTGCCTGCTGCCAGTGAGGGAATCCTGGTGTAGCCACATAGGCCAAGAGAAGCTGCCCTGCCACCACACACCCATCAGGGAAGCCTCAGTGTGGCCTTGTAGGTCTGGAAAAGCCCACCCTATGCTTCACTGCCTTCTCAGAACCTGGGCTTGGAGACTCCCGGGTGCCTGGCCCATTCCCCTGTACCACAGAGGGGCAGCCAACACAGGAAGCACCTGGGAGCCCACAGCTGGCTTGTGAGAGGATCCCGGGAAAATGTTAAGATGAAGGAGCAAAAGACAATCTCAGACTCTTAGCCCACACTAAACAAGTCTGGGAGATGCTGACATGGAAGAAAATGGAAGTCACACACCTGAAATCTCTCAAAAAGTAGCAACTAAAGAAATAGCTTCATGAGGCTGAGAAATAATATCTCAGATAAAAGAAGGAATCACAAACACAATGGAAAGACTGCTGAACATATCTAAAGAAGACATAGATAAAACAGAGGAGCACAGGAAAATGATTGAAATATTGAATGAACAATATAGGAGAGAATTACAATACATGAAACAGAGTTAGAGAGATACAGAAAATTAAAAACACCATCAAAAGCTTGCAAAACACCACTTGAAAGAGACTAAAGATAGACTTTCAGACCTTGAAGACAGGATTGTGCCTAGAGATCATAAAGGAAATATCTCTTAAAATTAACAAGGAACCAGGAAATAACAAGACAATGCAAAGAAAAATACTTTAAGAGTGATAGTTGTAAGCAAAAAGCAAGCGTCAAAACAAATAATATAAAAAACTGTCTAATCAGAAAACTTCCCAAACATGGGGACAGGATCTGGCATCCAGATAAGTGAGGCATACAGAACTCCAACTAGCCATTAACCATAATAAATCTACACCCAGATATATAATAATCAAAATCTCAAAGATTCAGAACAAGAACAGAATATTAAAAGTTGTTAGAGAAAAGCAACAGGTCACCTATAAAGGAAAACCACCAGAATCAGGACAGGCATCTCAACACAAACCACCAAGTCAAAAAGAGCTTGAAGTGAAGTGTTTTAAATCTTGAAAGAAAAAACTTCCAACCCAGATTGATTACCCTGTAAAACTATCTTTCAAAATTGATGGGAAAATAAGACACTTCAGTGGTAAACAACAACTGAAGGAAATCATACCAGTAAACCAGCCCTACAAAGAGCACTGAGGTATTCTAGAGGGAGCTGAAGATGACCATGTTTCCAGGAACAGCAGCAGAGAGGATCACCAAACAGGGCAGGCACTGAGCGGAGGGGAAAAGCAGAGGACCAACAGCAGTGCACGTTGGCCATAGCCACTAATGTAGATGGCCTCAATTCACCGATAAAAAGAAACACAGTCAGAATGGACCAGGAAACAAGATCAATCAATATGCTGTATACAAGAAACACATTTAACTCAAAAGGAAATCCACAGACCAAAAGTCAAAGGAGAGAAAACTGCTCCATGCAACAGGTAACCAGAAAAAAGCACGGGCAGCTTGTCAATCGCCTGGAAAATGGACAAGAAAGATGTATTTTTATACTGTGGATAGCTAGCTAAGGATAACCTCAAGGTTCTCAC